CACTGGATTTAATTCACACGGATTTGTGTGATTTCAAATCAACGCCTTCAAGAGGTGGTAACAAATATGTTATCACTTTTGTTGATGATAGCACGAAGTATTGCTATATTTATTTACTAAAAAGTAAAGATGAGGCGTTGGACACTTTCATTCGGTATAAGAATGAAGTAGAAAATCAACTCAATCGCAAAATTAAAGCAATTAGGAGTGATAGGGGCGGGGAGTACGAAGCTCCATTCGCCAAATTGTGTGCACAACATGGGATTGTGCATCAGGTAACTCCGCCATACACACCCCAATCAAATGGTGTGGCGGAACGGAAAAATCGCACTCTCAAAGATATGATGAATGCGATGTTGCTTAGTTCGGGGCTACCCCAAAATATGTGGGGGGAGGCTATCTTATCTAGCAATTATTTGCTAAATAAAATACCCCGAAAGAAACTCGATAAGACTCCTTACGAGTTGTGGTATAATAGGAAACCTTCCTATAAATACCTGAAAGTGTGGGGGTGCCTTGCAAAAGTTTTAGCACCACCACCAAAGAAAATAAAGATTGGTCCAAAGACCGTTGATGGAATCTTTATTGGCTACAGTGGTAGCACGTATCGATTCTTAGTGTATAGGTCTGATAATCCAGAAATACATAAGAACACGATAATGGAATCGAGGAATGCAACATTCTTCGAAAATATATTTCCGTTAAAATCGAGGAATGCAACATTCCTTGTGTGGCCTCTACATTCCACTATGTGTTCCGTTCCATGGGGGAGGCATCTATCTCAATTTTTTTTATTTTTCTTTTTATATTATTTTGCATAAAAAAAGTATTTTTTTTTAAAAAAAGAATACATCTATTTTTTTGGGAAAAAAGATTATTAAAATAATTTTTAATGATCAAACTGTGTAAAAAAGGTAAAAAGTAACAAAAAATGACTTGCCACCACAGAGTATGTTTGTAAAACGAACGAATTGAATATTATGAAATTTTATTCATATTTGAAAAATGATACCATTATTCATATTCATATTCGTTTTTATTCGAATAAGTATTACTATTCGTATTCGATTTGATGTTAAATTCAAATATTTGCTTTGTATTCATATTCTTTAATTCAATATAATTTTTAATTTTTTTACGTTTTATAGCTTCAAAAATTAACAAAAAATAACCTAAATAGAAGTGAAACATAGAGAAAGTTTTGAAAGAGGAAGTTTATAGTTTATCCCCAAAATAGAAGTTCTCACTGTCATGTGGTAATATTAATGTGGCACTGTATATAAACAATGCACAAATCTTTTTAGTAAGGTACATGGTCATGATTGAAACTGTAAA